ACACAACCAAATCAAGCAGTGTCATAACCCAGAAAAGGAACAATCATAAAGCCTAATTCAACAGTCACACCGCTGTGATTTAAAATAATGCGATTTGTGTGTAATTTCATTGGGATTTCAGGTGCAATTTCTGAAGACTTTATTGCTACTTGTGAAGATTTTCAATGATTTCCTGCAATTTGCAGTGCGATTTCCATTATATTCTATATATGTGAAATCGCAACAAAACTGCAGAAAAAGTTTTCAATTCGCAAATTGCACCAGTGTGACCGGGCACTTAAGTTAGCCCTACACTGATCAAAATTTGGCCTGTTCAGCAGAACTGGCCAAGTATTGATCAGTGTGCGTCTGTCTCTACTCAACAAAATTCCAAGGGACATGTTGGAAAATATTTTATTGATCAGCAGCTACAGCCAATCAGCTGCAGATCTGTGTATTCTGACAGTGGTAGGTGCTGCTGTCACAACACAATGTCCCAGCAGGGAGGATTGCTCCGTCCATCCATTTGTGTACATGGAGGAATATGTTAGGTTTTTTTTTCATTCAGTCCATTAGCTGACTGAAAAAAAAAATGTAAGGCCAGCTTTTAAAACATTTGACACAACGTTTCCTTTGCATTACATTTATATACACATAAATCTATTTTGCTTTTTTTCGCCCAAAGGGATATAATTGTATATAAAGGGATATAGTGTGTAATTTCTTTAACATATGCACCAATCCTGCATGTCACAAGTGCACTGTCTATAAGAGTACATTCAGACAGCTGAAGAGCAGTGGTCAGGGTCAGCCGCCAACATGAATCAGTAGATTTTCCAGTGGTTGTAAACACTGCCTGCACACACTGGATGCGAACAGCTGCAGCTGTCAGATTTCGACTCTGTACAAATCAATGGCTGGTTGCCTCTGCTGTTCACATGTTACCGCTCATCTGAGGTGGCGGGAAGGGGTTAAAGCAAAATAGTATTATGATCAGTGGCCAGGGGCTTAAAAGTGATGCTGTCAGAACATGATCCCGAGTAAAGAATTAGATGCCTGTAATAAAATTGGCTCTGCCTTTCTGACAGCCCAATTTTTAAAGAAAGAATTAAACTTCTGTCAGTTCATTTTAGGGGGTAGGTTATTGTAAAATATCGTATTGTCTCGATATTTTGTTAACTTGTATTGATGAGAAATGTTCAGATAGAAAGTCCTTCCACTTCTTGCATAAACTCAAAAAGATGATTTAATAATAATGTTGCATAAAATTAGAAATAGAATATTGGGAATACAGAATGTTTAAATAATGTCCAAAAAAATATAGTTAAGTTCTTGATAATAAGATTGTATATATGTATATGTGTGTGTGTGTGAAGTGTATCGCATCAAGGCTTCTAGCAAAGTGAGAGACTCAAACCTTTGTTCTGCTCTTGAAAGAACAATCCAGCCCCCACCTTTTCCTAAAAATGGGCTGGTATACTTGTAGTCCCACAAAGATAATTGACACCAACAGATGTATTAAAACAAATCCTCCAGTCAACTTCTCCAGAGTCTATGTAACTTTAGCTTACATAGATGGGAAGGATGGGGGGAAGGAAAGCTAATTACTACCACGTTGCTTGAATGTAGAGAAAACCAAGATATATGTTCATATATGTATATTCACAGACTATGAAGTCTAATTACTTACTTTTCCCAATCTAGAACAATTATAAATATAATAACTCAATTATTCTATTAAGATCCAACTCATTCATACATATGTTAGTACTGTTAATAAGAAGAGATTAGATATTAGTTTAAGGAAAGCTTCTAACAGTTATGTATTAAGTTGAGGGTGAGGGTCAGGTTAAGTGTGAATCCAAGTGTTAGGGATATGTGGAAGGGGATATCAGTGAAATGAAAGTGTACATACACCCAAAAACAAAAAATAAGTTGTCTATGTAAAATAGAGAGTGTTATAAATTTAAAGAAGTTCTTCAGTCTGAAAAAAATGAAATGTCAGCAGCTACATATTTTGTAGCTGCCGACTTTTCATAAAAGGACACTGACCTGTCCAGAGATCCAGCGCCGTTCTCACCTGGGCTGGTTCTTTGATGGTCTTTGGGTCCTCAGTGCCGGCTTGTTTACTGTGGGAAGCCAGCTGTAACTCCTTGCGGCTTCACAGCCAGCTCCCCACTGTGCGTGTGCAAATCGTGCTGTGCTTTGTGAATGGTCCCACAGCCTCCTTGGACCTGTGATGTGTCCCAGGAGGTTGCGAGCGGTGGGGGGATGTGAACCTCTGTTGGGATTGCCTAGGCAATTCCAGCAGAAGGGGGAGAGGGTAACTAGCAAAACTTGGCACCGCTCCCCAAACAAAAAAAAATCTGAAATAGGTAGGAGGACATAAAGTGGAACTTCCCTTTTTTAGGTCATGTTCTGCTTTAAGGTTAATTCTCAACTCTCTGATCTCCACACCAAAGTGTCTGCACAAAGTGTTGGGTGCCTAAAAGTGATGGAATATACTATATATATATATATAGTGTGGTTACGTTTTTGACACCCAGACCAAGTTTGGCAGCATTGTTTGTGCGTCAGTTACCTGGACAATAACTCTAGGACTCAGCGGGTCTGACAGCCAGGAACACACACAATTGCACATTCCTAGTTCTCAGTTGGGAGCGTTCTCATGGTAAAGGGACATTTTACATTAGGACTTATAAAGTCATTGCAGTCACCAAAGGAATTAATACGATTGTTGAATAAAAGTTTTTTCTACTGTTTGCAAAAGTTTATGGGCAGTTTTTGCCGGTTGTAGTGATATTGCAGATGTTTTTGTGCCATGTGATCTGATCTGTAAATTGTCTAATTACAAAAGCTCCTGGTTTCTAAAATATTTGTGTTCTCCTCTCAGCCCAGTACGAGAATATGACTTATTGTGACACTGTCCCATGTTATGGGATCTGTTTTCCTGATAATGGATGTGCATGTAAGGATGGCTTTACGCTCTGTATTCCAAATGTAAATACAACATGCCCTGATCCCGCCTCCTGCTGTCCAAATGGCCTAAACTACAACACTGATCTATCCTGTTGCACACGTAAGTATTTTCATATCAGTTTAAAGTGTACTTTCTGAGTCTGATCATTGTAGGATGTCATTATAAACAGATATTTTCCTGCTGTGTCTTCTGCAGCTACTCCTCTCTGTGTGTTAGAATGTGCCACAGATGAAGAATGCACGCCATCAGGAGAGTGTCAATGTAATAAAACCGCATACCCTGATCTGAGTAAGACTTTGTTCATTTTCTTTCCTTTGCAATGTCATCCCAGTCATTTCCCCATACAGAGAATGCACAGTATGTGTTTGGTGGGCATATTAGGAGTTTGTTCTTGCAGTGTATACATTGGGAGTCACATTCCCTAAGACATTGACAATATTACATGCTTTCCTCTGTCATGTGTTTTGTTATTTTATTATATATGGAAAACATGTAGATTAGTCATTAGATGGAGCACTTAGGGGCTTCGTACTATTATTTGCTACTTAAAGTACACATTACATGACAATATTATGGGGACTGACATTGGTGACCACTTTCACAATGCTAGTTTCTGAATCACTGACCTGGAACAAGAATGCAGCAAATTACAATTGGAGAAAAGTCGGAGATCCTGATACCTATACAGTATTGGTTCCTGGTTGGTGACTGAAGCCAAAGCATCAGTGTGACAGCCAGAAACCAGCATGTTTAGACAGAGGAGCTCAGCAATGGAACCCACATAACCCTTAACAATTGTGAATTAGGATATCAGACACACAGGGGGAGCATTGGTTTCAACAATGTGAGAAGGATCCGTAAAGAACAACCATTTTGTAGCACTGCAAATATTAAAGAAGAGTCAGTAATGTAATGAGAATATATGTCTGGGCATACATTACAATATCAGCATATACTGGTAGGATTAGTTACATCAGGCTGCTCACTTTTACATTGAAAAACTAATACATCCCTTTAAAGTCGATGACATTATGCCTAACTGAATGATTAGTTTGCTAAAGCAAAATGTAACCTAAATAATTGACATTAAAAAACCTTTTTAAAACCTTGTGGCAGCTCAGTGATGCTGATCTCCTGCAACCTCTTTGCAGCAATTTTATTCTATATGCATGTACTTCAGTGATGACTGCATTTCACAAGGTGGCTCTCCTTATGGTGACAACAGTGGTCTGTGCCTGCATAATGTGTGTTGAAAGTCCTCTTGTAATTTCCATCAGAAGCCCATATAGCAGGGTGACAATGCAGCATCATGACTGTTGTCACCCTATAATCAGCAGAATAGGAGTATAAGATGAATTGCTGGAAACTCGTTCTCCCGATAAAAGTACTTTATTCATAAAGGGTACAGTGTGCAAGTTACAGCAACTTACGCGTTTCGGTAAAACTCCTTATTCATAGCCATCATCGGCAGTGCCTGAACCAGGACTTTTATGGCAGGAACACCAATGTTATGTTAATGAAAGCGGAAGATATAAGAGTATTAAAAATTACTTATGAAATCCCATGGCATTTTAGTAATTGGGTTGTATCCAATTTAAAGTCAAACTCCATGCAGATGTAAAATACACAAATTAACAAGCCATTTGTGTTCGGGATCGGCATGTTTCACCCTCTTTATTACCAGACAATTTTTCCACATTGAGCACTGTGATACTTTGACTGACAATTATTAAGTCATGCAGCACTGTGTCCAAATGAATTTTATATGATATTTTTGAGACAGATATTGAGGAAATCAAAATACCCTAATGACACATTTCTGGCTGTAGTTCCCTTAAGAATTTAGATTATATTCGGATAATACATTGCTTTTTTAACCACTTCCCGACCGGCCGTTGCATATAAACGGCCGGACGGTGGCAGTGCAGAGTCGGATGGCCGTTTACAAACGGCCTCCCCGCACCCTGCTTGTGCGCGCTCCCTCGGAGCACGCAACACCGCGATCCGGTGCCCGCTGCGTCCTCCGGACACAGTGAAACACCGATCGTCGGACGGGACCTCTGTACGAGGTCCCGATCATGTGATCACTGATTGGCCAATCAGTGATCGCATGCAAAGTAGTAAGCAAGATGTCACTTGTGACATCATTGCTTACTACGTGTGAAATCTGTGAATGATCACAGAGGTCACATGGTACAAGGCTATTCACAACAGCCTTGTACCATGTGACAAGCTGTGACCAATCACAGCTCACACAGTATTTCTCAATGAGTGCAAGAATGCACACAGAGAGAAAGAGAAATGATTGCTTTTACATCCTATATGGGTGTAAAAGCAATCAGTGTAAAAAAAAAAAAAAAAAAATCTTCATCACCCCCCACAAGTAGTACAGTGTCACCATGGTGAGACTGTACTGCTAGGGTGACAGTATGTAAAAAAAATAAAAATAAAATAATAATTTAAAAAAATAAAATAAAAATGTAAAAAAATGTTTAAAAATTATAATTTTTGGTTATAAACTAATTTGGATTTTTTTTTTACTAAAAAGATAACGGAATACATTTTGGCAAAGATTTATGATGAAATATTATTTATTTGCAAAATTTTATTTAAAAAAAACACTTTTTAAAAATATTTTTGGACTTTTTAATTTACATAGCAAAAAAAATAAAAATCCCAGCGGTGAATAAATACCACCAAAATAATGCTTTATCTGTCTCAAAAAAATGGTAAAAAAAATTAATTTGGGTACAGTGTTGCATGACTGCACAATTGTCATTCAAAGTGTAATAGCGCTGAAAGCTGAAAACTGGCCTGGTCAGGAAGGGGCTAAAAGTGTCCGGTCTGGAAGTGGTTAATCATTTTCTTATACTGGAAAAAAAAGGTAAAAGATCTCCATATTTATTACTGTTTATACAGCTTGACTGAATTACAGTAATAAATAACGAAGGTTCAGCTTTCAATACCTCTCTTCCAGACTCCACCATGGACTCTTTAAAGTGTTACTAAACCCACAACATTAATCTATATATGCAGTAAAGCATGCTTGTTATACTCACTGTGGAACCTAAGGGGTTAAAAAGGTTGTTTGATCCTGTCTTCCCCGATCCTCTCCTTCTTCTATTTTCCCCAATCCATCTGCTGATAGTACAGAGCTCTAGGAGACACTCTGCACATGCTCAGTTTGGTGTGTATTGCTAAAGAGTTTTTTTTCTTGGGAGAGTGCATGTGATCAGTACAAGGCCAATCAGCACTGTCCAGACAGAGGGTCAGGGGTCATGCACCCTTATAGGACAGTCAGAGGAGAATAAAAACTCATCCTAAAAGCTTTAATCAGTGCTCTGCTGGACACTGATAGAAGTCACAAGACTGCTATATACTGCTGAGAAAAGGTATTTAACAGTTTATATTTACTAAAATAATTGCATTCCCATGTTGTATGTACTGTGGGAGACCAGATATAGTGAATGCAGGGTCCTGGGTTTAGTAACACTTTAAAATGTTGAGCTTTAGGAATTCTGTTTGTTGTTTGTTAGGGAACTGGGCCATATGGCTAAAAGTGTCTGTAAGCAGTAACAAATAGTAAGAGGAGTGGATCAATGTACATGTGCAAAAGAAACACAACAAACACTTTTCTCCTGCTCTAGGAATGGACTCAGTAGACCCAATAGGAATGTTCTGGAATATGCACTGCTTGCTGCCCTCAACAGGCCGGGGTGGTCCAGGTATACTAGATGCAAATAGAGAAACAGAAAAAGGGCACACCGACCTAGTGCATTATTGTTTACAAATATTTATTGAAGAAACAAAGTAAGTATCATATCAAACTGAACAAGATGTATGATCCTTCCAACATCTCCATACGATGGAACCCTGGATGACCAACTGGCTAACGCGTTTCGAGGACACAACCTCTTCCTCAGAGCCAACCAACCTCTGAGGAAGAGGTTGTGTCCTCGAAACGCATTAGCAAGTTGGTCATCCAGGGTTCCATCGTATGGACTCAGATGTTGGATGGATCATACATCTTGTTCAGTTTGACATGCCTGTGTTTTTATATCTATTGTGAGTATGATACTTACTTTGTTTCTTCAAAAAATATTTTTAAACAATAATACACTACGTCGGTGCGCCCTTTTCTGTTTCTCCATTTACATGTGCAAAAGAACAGTTCTTGTATGCATTGCCCACTGATTGATTTATATGTACTCTTTTGTTGAATTTTCCCAGCACGTGATGATTTTCACCCTACGGTTGACTGTAAAGACAATGCAATGACAGTCTCAATGAAGAAATGTGAGCTAGAAGCACTTGGTTACGACCCTTCCACAGTTCATGCGAGAGATCCATCAGTGGGCTGCAATTACACTTATATTAGTGACGTCAATGGCGTCAAAGCGGTATCTTTTATGGCCCAAGCAACATCCACTTGGTGTGGAAACACATTGACGGTAACACACTATTCATTTATTCATTCATTTTAGCAGCTCTTTCAGCTTGTATGTATTGTTTACAACAGGAAATATCTGGAAAACGTGACCCTCTGGCTTTTTGCTATAATCTTTTCAGGAAAATCTGAAGCAAAATGCTAACTCCAGCCAAAACGTTTCATTTTATTTAGGGCCAGTTCACACCTGATTCACACAGGGCCTCAGTCTGTGTTCCTGTGCCATTCCTCTGTGACTCAGTGCAGTGTGATTGTCAGCCCATTTATTTGAATGGACTGAAATCACACTGGATCACCAAAGTAATGCATGTACCACTTTTCAAAAACGCATTGCACTGGATCACATAACACTGCAATACCATCCCATCTGGTGCAGGTAAACGCACTGCTTTTGGGATCTGTGTTTGTGATACCATTAGGATTATGTTGACATTCACAGCAGAGTGAATTTTGAATGCGGTGTGAGAAACGCACATGAAACATGGGTTTCCCGTATGGCATTTTGGTGTGCCTGCGTTTTTTAGTGTGTTTTACAGTTCTGCAGAAATGCATTACAGTCCACTTAGGTTTCCTATGGGTCACGTTCACATCTGTGCATTTTCCACTGGTGTGTTTTTTGGAAAGGATCAGGGACTTTTTTTCCCCCACAGCAGTTGCATTTTTGGTTCCATAGACTTCAGTGGAAATGCAGCAAAAATGCATCAAAACACAGTTTTTGTGTCTTTAAGACATTTCTGCTGGTTTCTCCTGCAAGACAACAGACACCTCCCAAAAACACAGATGCAAAACGCATGGAAAACACTAAAGATGTGTCAAGAACACGTGTGAAAAAAATCTGCATAGGTGTGAACCAGGTCTCAAGATAGAACAGGGAAGAGTTAGGGACCCTGTCAGGTTTTTTTTTGCTGCCTATGTCCTTGTTGGAGAGATTTCTTTTGTAGGCATCACAGTACTAAGAAGTGAGAGAAGATCTTTCAATGGGGTCACTGAGAGAAATCTTACCTCTTCCTCATTCTATAAAGGGAATTGGGCTAGTGGTAAGCTGTAAGGGATATCTCTACTTTTAGTACATTTATAATTAAAATGCGGATCCCCTCTCCCCCAGAAAGCTCCTTGAGACCTGGTTCTTTTTTGCAGAAACGCACTACAGTCCATTTAACATGGTTTCCTATGGGACATGTTCACATCTATGCTTTTTTGAGCCGCTGTATTTTTGGAAAGGGTCAGGGACTTTTTTAAATGCAAAACATTGCATTTTTGGTTCAATAGACTTCAATGGAGATGTTGCAGAACAAGCAAGTAGTGCGTATTTTGACGTGTTTTGCATTTTTAATCTGTGAGGCAACAATTTTAGCCCTCCAAAAATTGCAAAACGCATCAAAACCACAGCAAAAAGCACTGCAAAATGGACAAAACGCAAACTGCATTGGTGTGAGCCAGGTCTAGTTTTTTCACTTACCAATCTATGATTCATGAAGATCTTATCTTTGGGGCCGCTGAGTACTACATAGTCTCTTCACAAACCTCCTCTCCCCCTCCCCCCCCCCCCCAGCAGGTCCATGCAAGGCAGAAGACTTTCCATTTTTTGCTAGGGGAAGCCTGTTGATTGTTGGGCTCAACGATTGACAGGCTTCATTTCCATTAGGCAGAGTGAAGTGACTCCTCTATATTTCAAAGCTGTTTTTTCATTGCTAATTACTTGACAGCGACAGAACAAATGTTTGAAGTAAAAGGTCTAACTTGTTTCTGTTTGCTTACAACACTTTGTCGGTATTTCCTTCTTTCCACAGTACGATCAATCCTATATCAATATTTCCAACACCGTGTACATTGGAGTCCTGGATACAGAAATCATCAGATTCAATAATCTCAGCTTTAACTTTACCTGTGTGTATAATCGGGATATGATAACAAGTCTGAAACTGCCTGGAAATATAACCTATCAGTAAGAAAATAATATCACACTAACTATATCAGTGTTTTGCTTATGTAAAGACACTAACATAATGTTTAGTTTTCCTTCATTAACCTCTCATTTCCATTATTGGTGTTCATGATATTTATAACATTATAACATGAATACTATTTATACTGTATATGGCTCAGATTTTTGTGGATCCAGGAGCATGATATTTTGTACTATATGGTGTTAGTACAGGCCTAGCCTTAGATTTTTTTATCATGTTCAAGTGCATGCTAAGTAACCAGTAAATGCATAGCTCCCAACTGTCCTTCATTTTGAGGGACTGTCTCTGATTTGGAACAAAGTCCTTTTGTCCCTCCTTCATCCTCATTTGTCCCTCATTTTGGCCTGATCTATATAGTTGTATATAAAAATCACTATTTATCTATCAAAGAGTGTTTTACAGTGTAAATGTATAAGGAGTGGGAGATGGAGACATAATAGCTCTCCATATCCTTGTGAGCTGGGTTTTACTGGTACCACGCCCCTAATGAAAATTGTATTACCCTAACCAAGAAAAACTAATGGGGCTTTTAGGGTACCAAACTGTATAAATAAACATTAATTATACAAAAATATGTAAAGACAGTTAATAAAATTGAACACCTTTTATAAGGTTAAAAAGCCCCCAACAGGTGGAACATGACCGTCAAACATATACATGGAGAATCATAAAATACAATTATTGAAACCAGCCACAGTAATGGCTACTGATGTCCTAGAATCAAGGGGTGTCACGGGCATCAGCTACACAAAACCAGCAGCTACAACCTTAGAACACAAAGGCTAAACTGTAAATGATTGATGACACCTAGATGTATGGTGTCACATCATAATTAGTAAT